GCGCGGAGTCCTGGCGGCGCGGGGTGCGCGTCTCCTGCCGCGCGGAGCACCTGAGCGCCGACCCCGCCGACCCCCCCGAGAAGAGCGTGGCGACCGAGCGCGCGGTTCCGCCAGGTGAGGCCGCAGATCGGACCTTGTGTCGGAGTCCTGGAAGCGCAGAGTAAACAACACCCACACTGACGCACCCCCACTGAGGGACCCCCTCAACCCCAGTCCCTCTCTGGACCTCATTTTAACGCAGGAGGCTCCAACAGATGAGAACTGTGCACATAAACACACCCACAAACAGAGAAATAGATACACAGAAATATAGACACACTTGCACAAAGAACACAGACACTCACACACAGAAATATACACAAAGACAGAGATGCACACAAAAATACACAGAAATAGAGATATCCACAGATACGCGGACATGTACAGACAAAGAGATACACAGAAGTGCACACAAAGACAAACTGTTACATGCACACAGAAATGCTCACGCAGAGATATGCACAAGTATACCCACAGAGAAACACAGAAATGTACAGACACACAGACGCACAGCATGCAGAGGGACAGACAGGGACAACAAACAACAGAGGTGCTCCCCCCAGTGGGGTAACTAGTAAAGGTTGAGGTGGATGTGTTGGGGTTGGGTTGGGCAGCATGGTTTCTCTCGGCTCTCGGGGAGAAACAGCCACCCCTGGTGGCCGCCGACCCGCCGTGACAAGACAAGCCGAGAGCCCGCCTTGCCGGACTGCAGCTCATGCAGCGTCTTGGCCAGCAAGCGGATCCTGAAGGGAGGGGGCGGGTCTCTTAGCCTCTCTGCACTCCCCCCTTCTGAGGGGAGTGGGTCTAGGAGGCGCCACCATGATCCAGGATGCAGAGCGCAAGAGGATTTCTTCATAAAAAATATATCAGCAACACTCATTTCAGTGGGCTGAGGTGACACTTTGTGTGTGTGTGTGTGTGTGTGTGTGCGCGCGCTGATGTTCTCACCGCCTGGTGCTCTGGCTATTTCAACACAGGGTGCAGCAGGACAGCTGACCAGCAGGGTGACCTGGGGACTGAGGGAAACTGGACCAGAGGCTCGGGCAGTGCTGACCGCTCTGTCTACACAGGTATGGGCATAAGTACAGGCACACACAGGTAC